AGAGGTTCTGCCTTAGGACATGTGCACTCGCCAGAGAGAGAAATACACACAGTGAGAGGAAAATTGAAAAATATCACGCGCACACACACTCCCTGGGGGAATGGCCACACTGTAATCCCTACTCTTCCGTTCTCTTTCTGGGATCTTGGACACACATACATACACACCCAGTGTGACTTTCAAACCACTGGGTCCGGGACTCAAACTATGATCAGTCATGTGGGACATAACCGATACGCCACCTCCTGGTCCCTCTCAAACAATACTTTTAAGGCCAGCATTATTAGCAGTTGTCTTCTAGCACGAACAAGTAGACTCACCTGGCTTATTCGCAAATGGGTGGAGGATTCATCCCTTCCCAGGTCGGGTGCCTTCTGTGGTTGGGAAGTGATGCTCAGACTTAGGAAAGCCGAGGCAGTGATCACGCACGAGCTGGGAGGAAAAGCCCTGGTTTGATGTTCTTCGAAATCTCTGCTAACGTTGGAAACATGTCAAAAATCTAATGTTCATTCGCCACCCCCACGATTCCAGTTGGGCTGTGAAGGCAGTCACTTTACCTGCTGACTGGAGCACAGTTGTCATTCTCCCCTGAAGTGACAGATTGTGTTCGTTGAGCAGGTTTCATGTATCACCCAAGTAACCAAGTTTCTCCGCCCATTCTGTGTCCCCGAAAGATGCTGCCTGTGGTGACTTTCTCTAAAAGAAATCTCTGGAGTTTCTCTCGTAATTCCAAGACTCTGGCGAGGAATCTGCCTCTGAAAGCCGCCGCACTTCTGTGTGTAAGAGAACGTGTGTGCCCTGTGTCTGTCTCCTCACAGAGCTGTGTGCGCAGACGGGAGTTAAGGGTGTGTACTTCAAAGTGGTTGATCATTTTAACTACATCCTGCAAAGTATTTTTTAAAAGAATTATTTTATTTAACTTTATCTATTTATTTATTTATTTTAATTTGACCAGATAGGGACAGAGTGAGAGAGAGAGAGAGGGAAAGTGAGAAAGCAAGCCACCAGGTCTGGGACTTGAACCATGGTTGGCCATGTGGGAGTCCAGTACCCTTCACCACCATACCACCTGCTGGCCCCATCCTGCAAAGTATTTTATGTTCAGGTGACATTTTTCAGCTAACCAGCATTTCTCTATGATGACACCGTTCGGAAGTGACCTCTCTGACCCAAGTACTGAAACCAAAAAGCTGTCCAGTCAGGGCAGTTTGCATATACTGAAACAAAGTGACCAATTCTATTTTCCTGATGTGTAATCATTCAAAGACTTGAATCGTTCTGCAGCTGTCGTGTTGACTGGCAACAAAAGTCTGTGTGAAATACCCTTGTGTACATCTTCCTGAAAAAAATACAAAAGCATTGTTTCCTAGTTGTCAACACCGGTAGACTCGTTAACCTGGATTTTGTGCCACGGTGACTCAGTCCTCTCTAACAATTGCACCTCAGTATCCCCTGCTAGTTCATTCATTGATTTAGTTATAGTGCTAGCCAAAGAGGAATGCATGCCATCTTCTGAACTGCGGCCTCTCCTGAAGGCTGGTGACAAACGTCCTTGGCAGAAGGCAGGGTCAACTCTTCCCCCCCAGCAAAGGGCTTCCTAGCTTTAGGAATGCACTTAGGCACTAAGGACGAAGCTCTCGGTGCAGACATGTTTGATGAAAGGGTGCTTTCCATTCACGGTGTCTGTTTTTCACGTTCACATTTTTTTTTTTCTTTTGCAGAACTTCAAAGGCTTGTCTTCTCATGTAGGGTTGTAAAAGTCTTCATGGGGTGAAGTGGTTCTGAAGGTGGGGTGGCTTCGCTGGGTAGCCGGTTACCACATATTGCACAAAGCGGGCCAGGAGGACGGGAGTCACCTGTTGCCATGAGCCTGTGGTTTAAGCAGCACGTTTGCTATTTCCTTTTAAATGCAGCTTTCTCCGTGGTGGCAGTCTTAGAGTCTTCCACTGGCTCATCATCAGGTCTCTGCATGGTTTCAAAGAAGCACTCCAGTCAGGTTTGTTTTCTACTGTTTTGGCTAGAGTTAACATGTGGATTACCAAAGCTGAGACTGAGACAGGCACACAGAGCAGGAAAGAAGGGCAGATGAAGGCGATAAATGGAATAACAGGCGGGCCTTACACGGACTGAAATAAGTGTTGAATTCTGACCTACAGCCTGCCACTAGAATTAAAGCTCATCATTCACTTGCCACTACAGAGCCTGCCACCAGATTCAGCTTAATTGCCAACCTACCACACTCACTGATGGGTTTTTGTTTGATTTTTTTTTTTTTTTTGGAGAGAGATTTTTGCTACAGGGCACGTGCACTCACTGGAGAGGCAAAGACAGAGAGACAGAAAGTGAGAAATCACCCCCTACGGGGGATGGCCACACCACAATCCTTTCTCCTCCAGTCTTCTCTCAGGATTTTGGGCACACATGCACACACGCTTGGCATGAGTTTTAAGCTGTCAAGTCCAGGACTCAAACTGCAGTGAACTATATGGGAGTCTGGTGACATAACCATGACACCATCTGCTGGTCCCTGATGGGGTTTTGATATGATTCAGCAAGCAATTGATTTATTATGGTCTCTGTGCAGTAGTCATACCTCTCTGCTAATGCTCATCAGTATTTGCAGCCACTCCCAGTGCTAGCATCACTGCCTCAGCTCCACCTCAGCTCCGTCAGGCATTAGATTCTGACAAGGAGAACGCAGCCCTCACACGTGGAGTTCACAATAGGGTCTGTGCGTCTATGAAATCCAACGCCACTGCTGATCTGACAGGAGTGACGCAAGTGATGAGGAGTGGCTGTAAATACAGACGGGGCTTCACTTGTTCGCCTCCGCTCACGGGCTGTGTGGCCCGGTTCCTGACAGGCCATGGACAGGTACCAGTCCAAGGGCGGGGACCCCCTGCTCTAAAGCAAGTATAGCCATAATTCCATTGATTTACACTGGCAAGACCACGCAGGGGATGTCAGTCTGCATGACATTCAGAGACTCATGATGACAAAATCCTCCTGAGAAAATGATTGGGGTGGCTGATTGAGCAGGTTGGAAAGTGCTAGTAAAAACATTGGAAGAAACCAAGGAAGTTTAGCCCCAAACAAAAATCTAGGGATGGGTGGTGGGGAAGCATAGCTCTTTCAAAGAGAAAACAGTATTAAGACCATGTAATGAGTCTGTAGAGGGAGGAGTGTTCAGAATTCAACTGAGTGTAAAAAATATATATATATCTTAAACTTGGTGGCTAGATCCAGCCTGTCCACCTATGCTGATGGAGAGTAGGCCCAGAGGCTTGAGACACACCCGGGGCATGCGTAAGCCACCCCAAATCTGGAAAACAGGGAGAGATGGGGGAGGATTGCACAGCGGCCATGGCCCACGAGGGGTGCTTTCTCACTTCTGTCTCAGAGGTGAGTGCATGTGCCCTCTGGCCAATTCAACAAACTTTTGATGGAACACACTTGCGAGGTGTGAACCCTCATCACAGAGAACCGTCAAGCCCCCTCAATAGGAACATTCTGGGAGAGTCCCAAATTGGAAAGGAGGTTGAATGGAGGTGATTTTTGGTTCCCATCCAAATCAGACACAGTAGGCAAGACCTGGTCTTCAGAACAAGGGGTTCTGGCCTGGGGCTCCCTCGCGGGCAAGAAGAGCCTACTGGGCCCTCACTGTCACTGGGTCTCGCCTGCAGCGCTTACAGTCAGGCGGTTACAGCCTTCCTCTCCAAGATCGGTGCTCGGCCTCCCCTTGGGTAGGAGAGCCGGGAAGGCTGGGTGGCTGGGCAGAGGCGCTGGAGTTCATCTCTCGCTTCAGTTCCAGGCATTCTTGATTCGTTAGGTCAGTCTGAGTTTCTAACTGGACGTGAAGGTTCAAGTTTCCTTGGGGGGGAGGGGGAGAGGGGGGCTCCGCAGCTGCTAGGGCAGGGAGCGGCCAATAGTTGGAATATGCCACAGGGCAATCTGATTTTTTTAAAAAAAGTGGAGAGGAGGACTGCAAAGAACGTGGGGAACGGAAGAGACGTCCTCTTTCCCCCTTCCCCAACACCAATCCTGAGCTGCCATTTGGATTCTCTCACTGGGCGATAAGGTAGACCCAGGAACAGGTGGGCCTCACCCCTTCCCCACTTGCTTTAAGCAGGGATTAGGTTGTTGCTTTTGCTGTGTCCTGAGCCAATTAATCAAGACTAGACAAAAGGCAGACCCGGAGGGGAGGGGGTCGGGAGAGAGGCCGGGAGCCTGGACTGTGTGCACTGCAGACGACATCACCGCCTGAGAGACACTGGTCTTCCCGGGAGCTGGAGGCCAGCGTGTCTGTGCGACGCGGAACGGGGCCGTCCGGAGGGTGTGGGCCGGCGGGTGGCGGTGGCAGGTGCCGGGGCGGGGTGGAGACAAGAGGGAGCCCTGGAGCGAGCTGGCGGATCCTGTGCCCATGGATCCCAGGGCTGGAGGTGTTTGCGCCGCTCGGGCTCCGCCCCCGCTCCGCGCCGCGCGCGCCCTGGGAGGGACACGCCCTTTGGGGGTGGGGAGCGTGTGCACGAGGGGGAGGGTCCTTGCTGCGGTGGGGGCGGAGAGGCGGCTGCGCATGTCACCG